TGTCCGAGACCACTCCAACCTGCAGAGCTTCAGGAAAAGTTATTCACACAGTCAACAAACGCATTAGATGGTAATAAATTTCCAGCCTCTTCAACTCACTGGACTATCACAAAAATCCCTCCCATCGCCCTACTTCCCTCTGCCTTTCCACTCCACTAGCAGCACATCCCGCTCTGCGAAAGCGAGGGCTTTGGGCTGTGGGTTTTTTTGGTTTTGTTTTTAAAAAAATCACAGTTCTCAGCAATACCAACTTACATTCTGCCTTTGAAGTAAGCAGGAATGTAAATTCTGAAGATACTGCTATTTTTTTTTTCCAAATTGCTATTGCTACACACGTAGAAACAATCTTCAATACGATCTCATACAATATTCTTCCAGTGACAGAAAACCAAAGTATCTTAACAGGCAAATTTGGTATTTTTTGATCTTTGTACAGCAGCTTGAAAATCCTCCTTCCTAGCACACGGATAAGCCCCTCTCAGTGTCATTAAGCTGCAGAAAATCTAAGCTCTAATGCAAGGAAAAAATTCTAAACTTTCCTAGTAATATGGGAACTGTAAGGCAGTAGCTACAGTTTCTGCTACAGATCTGACATACAGATCACGCTAAAGAAGAGTTGCAAACAGTTACTACTTCAACACTCCTTCAGCCTTCATGCATAAAGATTAGAGAATTAAATAAGCAATTCTTTATATATTGAACGAGATGAACTGACAGTAGCAAGGTGATACCTTACATGAACATCAAAGCACCCAAAATCATTAGTGTAACTAAACTAAATTACAATAATAATTGTAATTCCTTGATTGAATTCTCACACTTCAAAAGAGAACCAGAACCCTGACTTACCTTACCACCTACTACCACAATTAATTTCAAATTTGGCAAATAGTTTTGGAAAGTGGATATTAAAGGCCAATTTCCAAATCAGAGCTGCCTGTGTGAAAGATTGAAGATTAGTATTTTATTTTATTTTTTTTTTACCTGTTTTTAATCCTAAATAAATCTAAACATAAGTCAGTATGTCAGACATACTGTGTGGACATCAAGTGGATAACTCTTGAGAGAAACCAAAGTGAATAATTTAAGAATTCAAATTTCCTAAATACACATTCACGTTTAGACACATTTTTCATCTTTTCTTAAAGGTTTTATCTAGAGCATGCCAGTGAAAAAGCTACCCGTAACGTAGCCTAATTTTTTGTGACATGAGGCTATTAATTCAGAACGTGGCAGGAGCCACGAATAATTTATGACCATGGTTATGTTTAGACTGAACATTGATTAGGAAGGTTAAACACAAGGGGAAGTGACCAAGGTTCAGCAAGGGGAACTTCAGTAAGATGAAATAGTCAGTAAAATCTGCAATTAAAAAAAAGTAAGAGTCTTATGCCTCAAGAACAACTACAGTGGGTCAAAGCACCCACTACACTTTGTATCTCATCGCTGAATCAGGTCAATAACAGATGCCTAGGAAAGAATATAAAACAACCACAACCCATCAGCAGATCACAAGCGGATAGATGCGCAGCTTTCTGAAACTAAGGTGTAATCTCCACATGCAATAGAGATGTTTTTAATAATAACTGGCAGTTCTGCAACTAATGGGAACCAATTAGACATTGCCGAAACGCTTCTCATGTCTGTTCCTTAGTATCTTGCTCACACTCTCTATGGCAGAGAGAAAACAGACCTGGCTTTGGGGGCTACACAAGGCAGGCACCTGCAAAGACAGAGATGCGAAGGCTGAAGCAACCCGACAAGTTCAGTTCTAAGAGTGCAGAGAAAGCTTTTTGTCAAGTGACTGAGCTGCTGCCACAATACAGCACGATGTGAAAACGTTCCATAAAATCGGTGGCAGCAGAACACCACTACTTAAAGAAGTAAACTGGACAACAGAGCATAGACCCACTCGCTTCATTCAGAAGGAACCTACATGAACCCCATCTCGGCCAGCAGAAGAGCTCCAGACCTCACTAGCTATTGTAATAGAGATCACCTAGAAATTATAGATGCCACAGTCATAAGACAAGAGGGGAATGATCAAACACTTGATGAATATTAGGTCCTCAGAAGCCAGACAAACCTTGCTGAGCAACATCATGACTATTATACCGTCTAATTGGAAGCCATGCACAGATGCTTACAGATTTGTTTGAAATGCTGATTAAAACTGGAAGATAAAACATCTGGCAGACAATTTTAAAATTCATTCTTGTTGCTTATGCACCACTAAAATAGTAAGATGCGTTTGAACGTGCAGTAACAGAAGAGGAGAGAAGACTGATGGCATATTACGACTTTTGATTAAGTTGTACACACACAAAAAACACACTAAAAATTAAGTGAACTAATATAAGAATGTGTTGTGATAAAGCAGCCAAAGAAATGAACTTTTTATGTGTGTGTGTGCAGTAATTCCTTGTGTACGACCACAGTGAGCAGGAAAGTTACCTCGCAGCTACTGAATGAGCAAAGACACAGGCAGTCACTGCACAGCTGATGCCATGCTGATGGACCACGTTCTGCCTTAATGGACGCCAAATTTTTGGAGCAGCCACGGCTTAAGAAACAAACAAAACCGACAACTCCTAGAGATCAAGAGCTTGCTGAGAAGAAAGGGAATAAAGATTCGTTAGTCTATTTTTGTCACGGTCAAAGGTTGACAACTCACAGTACCATAATTATTACTAGATAGAAGGCAATACAGCGATCAGAGGAAAAAAAAGGGGAGATAAGGGAGATAAGAAGATAACAGTGTTATTTAATAAAGCCGAGCTTGGAGAAATACGAAGAACTTGAGGGAAACCAGTGACACTAGATGAGGCACTAAAACGCTGATAAATCCCAAATAAAGCGTGTTCCTGGCGAGACTGAGCCTACTGAGGGGTCCGACTGGGTTTGGGATAAGCCTACAAGCAGCTGTCAGCGCCAACAAGAAGGGCAGGTGCTGGGGCGGCAGGGCCGAGCTGTGAGGTCGCTGCCACCCCCTCCCCACGGCCTCCCCGAGGGGTCCGGGCCCTGTGGCGAGGCCGAGGGGCCGGGGGGGGGGGGTCCCAAAAGGGCCGGGCCGGGCGCTCACCTGCCACGGGCTGCCCCCTCCTGGGGCAGTGGAGCCAGCGCGGCGGGATCTTGTTGTAGGACATGGCGGGGGCAGGGGGTCGGGGACGGGGATGGGGTCGGGGTTAGGGGGCGGTGGGTGCCGGGTGCCGGGTGCGGGCCCGCGGCGCTCAGCGGCGCCCCCGGCCCCGGGCCCGCGGCGCCTTCATTCAGAGCCGGCCCCGCCTCGGCCCCGGCGCCGCTTCCGCTTCCGGGGGTGGCCGTGAGGGGAGAGGGGGGTGCCGGTCCCGAGGGCCCCGCAGGGATCCCTCAGGGCTGGTCTGCCCGCTAAAGTTGTAATAAAAGCGCGCCTCCGTCTGCTTTCACCCCACACGGGATAATAAAGAGATGTATCAGTCCGCCTTAACCCCAAAAATAACAATAAAATGACATATCACTTCCCCTTAACTCCAAAAATAATAGTAAAATACGCATCAGTCTCCCTTAGCTTCAAAAATAATAGTAATAAAAAGGCATATCAGTCTCCACTTCAAAAATAATAATAAAAGACATACTGGTCACCCTTCACTCTGAAAATGATAATAAATAGACATACCAGTCTCGCTTAGTTCCAGAAATAATAATAAAAGACATAGTGGTCACCCCTAACTCTGAAAATGGTGATAAATAGACATACCGGCCTCCCTTAGCTCCAAAAATAATAATAAAAAGGCACACTGGGGCTGGAGGTTCCCTGTGGAGAGTGAGGGATGTGTTGTGCCCAGTGGCCAGCCCAGGGCTGCTTGGTCCACGAAAGAGACATGGCCAAGACAAGATCACCGACATGGCCAGGATCAGCCCCACAGAGGGGATGTGATAAACTGTCCCCAGCTCCTCCAGCAGGGCTGTGGGGACGGGGAGGAACAGCCCACAGGGGCTCTCCTGGCAATGTGTGGGCACGGCTCGTGCAACACAAGCTGGAGCGCCAGCAAAGGCTGTCGTGTGTGCAGAAAGGCTTGCGTGGGCTTCAGGGGAGGCTGGGCACGTTGTTGGAAAGAAAAGGGAAATGAGGGTTGCCAAAGCAGGATGCACCAGGCCAGGAAATGTCCTGAGCTGCACGCAAATGGAGCATCGGGGAAACGAGAGGTGCCGCTGCACCAGGCCTTCAGGCACGGCCAGAAAGATCAGGCCTGCGACTAGGTGCACATAACATGAGCTATGTTTCTGCACAAAAAACAGCAAAACCTCCCTGTGGCCATAAAGCAGTCTGCTTACATCCTGTATTTACCTCAAACAAACAAACAAAAAGCCATTTAAGGTGGTTTCAGTGAAGCGTAGCTTATTTTCCATTAAATACATTTCAGTGCTTCATACAGTGGCCATGTTTCCTACTGCATTTTAGTACTCTAGATTTGATTAGATGGAGTTTCTTCCCTAGAATATCCTCTCACTGAGGATAATTTACAAACTCTCCCTCGAGTTGAGTCGAGTAATTGAGGTATCAGTGAATTAGTTTGTGTAGCAGTCACTATGTTCTCATGTTATGTTACAAGTTTCTGAATTTGTGATTAATATATATAATTCTATATTAATCTTATAATTCTTGTCAGAATTGAAACAGCCTCGCTGCACTGAAAGACCATTGGTCTGAACTTTTGGGTAGACCTGTGCGGTGTCAAGAGTTGGACTTGATGATCCTTAAGGGTCCCTTCCAACTCAGGATATTCTATGATTCTATGACCATTTATTTCTATTATTTTCCTTAACAGTTCAACACACGTCCATTAAAACATTACTGCGTGATGCTTGAAATCAGATGTTGATTTTCCCTGTGCAGAACAAGCAGCAGTCAGGCACCAGGTGGTGCCAGAGACCAGCCGGAACAGAAAGCGAAACGAGTGCAGGGAGCGTTCAAGAAGCCAAGAGCAACCAACCCCAAGTGTCCCAGTTTCTGATTTCAGTACACTACCGTCACCAGCACGGCAAAATTAGGAACGAAACCATTTTCAGAGGTGCAGAGTAGTACAAAAATATCTCATGAATGAGCAATAATCTATTCTCATCATCTAGCTGTAAGGTTCTGATACGGTTTTTAAAACAGCTGCAGAGAGCAGTTACTTTCATGTAAAGAGGTGTAGTTAAACTGGGAGTATATGTACATGTTTTTATTCAGCAACGCACAAGGCAAATAAAATATTTGAAATTTTCAACATAAGGTAGAGAGTTTAGCTAAAATGAGCTTCACCAGACAGCACTCCTCAGCGTTTAACCTCCTGCTGGCTGAGCAGGGTTCAGGGCATCCCTCTGGCAAACAGCGTAATGCACGTAGCCATTTGGGGTCGGACCCAATGATCTCTTGAGGTCCCTGCCAACCCCTACAATTCTTTGATTCTGTGATTCAGCTGAGCACCTTCACCACGCTATCGAGCTTTATTTGCCACCTACCATCTTGCTCCACATCACGTACCAAGAACAATGACTGTGATGCCTGTTTGAGAATGAGAAAGGTGTTTCTTGGAGAGAGAGAGAAGGTTGTTTCCATCTTTTCCACAAAATGGTGTCACAGCCAGTATTCAGCACGATGACTGTCTGCTGATGTTCTGTTTCCAGTTAGTGTAAAATCCATCTAGATTTTAACAGTAAATATGCTATAACTGTGACCTGAAATGGCAGGTTACTTACAGCTCATGGATGGACATCTTACATATTCTGCAAATGTAATTTACACTGGACTTTGACATGTTAGACACTCTGAAACAATTTACACAGGCACAGGTTGATGGTTTGTGTGTTGCATCAATAGCTTTATTTGTGAACAGCCCTATTTTCCTGCCTGAGTTTGTAGTTAAGAACACTTTTTCCTGATGTACCAGCAGAGGGCACCGAGTTCCCAGATATTCCACGTGGCTTTCAAAAGCCTGCACTTGCTGTGTTTGAACAGGAAAATCAGGTGAATGTAGTGGTTCTTTCAAGGATTGCTTTGAAAAAAAAAAAATAATAATAATTAATTAAAAAAAAAAATTACAAGTGTTTTAATAGTCTGTGATATAACATTCCCTCAGCGCTTCTCTGTATACCAATTCTTTTTTATCTAGAGGTATTCAAATTCCTGTACCTTCACTGGTTTCTGCTCACCAATTTAAATCCTTTTCCTGGCAGAGCAGACGCTATGGTCAAAATGATTTTTCTGGGATGAGGTTCATCCCTTGTACCATGGCTTTGTTGACTCCTCTGATGATTTTAGTTCAGCTGCACTGTTTCTGGTAGTGGAGAGCTGCGTTTTTGTTCTCCCATGAGTTGAGAAAAAAAGATTAAAAAAAAAAAAGACACAAAAAAACACACTTTAAATCTTTTTCCTAGTTACAAACCGAACATTTAATCCAAATTGTTTCTGGTGAATAACCTTACCTTTTTAATGTAATATATTAATATTGTAACTAACTAGCTAATTTCATTACATTGGCCCTGTTCTGGGCAAAGTGGACCACCAAGGTATTTTGCCTGAAGGAAGAACACGGCGTGCTATACTGATATGTCAAAAACCCCATTACTGTTCTGCTTCACTATAGGATTATCTTCCATGACTTTGTAAAGTAATAATGAACATAATAAGAAAATGAAACCTTTCCTCAAGATGTTCTTTGAAAGAGACATTTCTGACTCTATCAGTAAATAAAATTATTTTTATTTTTAAGAACATACTTACAGAACTGAGACTTCAACTGGTTTTATTTCAGTGAAAGTAATTGTGAAAGATGCTAACTATGCGGGCAAAGGTGATTCACGCAGGATTATTTTTCCACTTCATGGTACAGGTCTTCACCTGAAAAGAAACTCGATGTCATAAACTAGTAAGCTATTATATAAGAATTGTAACAGAGCAAACTGTATTTTTATTTTTGGTTTACTGATGCAATTAATACATTCCTTGCTTGTTGCTTTTTTATGTTCATAGCAGTCTGACTTGTGACAACATGTATGACTAATTACAATGTTTCTTTATGACTTTCAGCATGCATAAAGCTTTTTTTGGGGAGGGGTGAGCACTGTTTGAATAAATATTGTAACTTCTTTGATACTGTAAGTCATGTTTTATTCCAATAGCATTTAGACTCTAATTGCATCAAAAGAAAAAAAAAAAAAAAACAGTACAACGAAAGCATATTTTTACATTTAAGTGAAAGTTAATATTGGGGTTGCATATGCTTATTGCAAAACTTAATACATACCTACATACATATTAAAGAACTTAATACACACACCTACATTAAAACACGCTGAGTGTGCTCCAACTCTTATGAAAAATCAAAAGAAAATGCTAGGAGCTCAGCATTTTTTAAATCATGCCCACTTTTTTGGTGTCAATGAATAATTAAGAACCTAACTTCTGAGACAAATTATTTTTCCCAGGTTGAGAATGAAAATAAGATGTCAAAAATAAACTATTTTATTCCTTGTGTGCATAAAATAACAAAAAGGGATGTTCAAGCGTAGTTTTAAGTGCTCTGAGATATTTGATAACATTTACAGTGCTCTTCCTATGGAGAGCTTTGAGATCTCAGCAACAAAATTAACAGTCTTTAGTCTTCAAGACATTAGGGGGCACCACAACCTCACAGACTTAAAATGATGTAAGTTAAAAGTACAGTTACTTTTCCTGTCCAAAATAAACAGGAAACAGCATGGAAACAGCCAAATCAAATCCTGGAGTCATTCCCTAGTGCAGGATTACAATACAGTTCTTAATAGAAACTCACGTAGAAGGCAAACCAGACATTTAGTAGAATATAGACTACACCCTCCTTTGTGTAACAGTAATAAAACTGCACGACTAATTGATGCAATATAAGCAGCTTTATGTAAAGTCTTTACATAAATCTTAAATTTCCCTTCAGGGTTTGATTCGCGAAGGTGTTTTCAGCTCAAGCTTCTGAGGTATGTGACTTCACACAGTGACATGCAGGTCCAAAAAAAAACCAAAATGTCTTCCTCTTCCTCTTGTTCCTCTGCAACTGCAATGATTGTGTGCTTGATGTACAGAGGCAAGCAGCTGGACAACAGGCTCCTGTCATTCCTGAAGGACTAGGACATCTCCCTAGAGTTCTTCTGGTTTGACCTGGACACCTGTGGTGTAACTCATTTAGCTGTGAGGAATAATTTTCAGTGGAAAACTACACTTTGAAAAGTATCTGGATGAACCATTCAAGAAGATCTGGTCCGTTGCATAAAATCAAGTCATCCGGTAAGACTGTGCTCTGAGTGTGGATAAAGTAATCAACCAGCTAACATTTCAGGGTGGAAAATAACTCGCAGTAGGGAAAAGCATGACATAATACAAGTGGAACAACTCTAATTTAAGTAAGTGGAAAGCGTGTCATGACTCTTTGGAGATGATGTGGTGAGTGACTAGATTCCACAAAATAAAACGGTCGCTACACTTTCTAGTTTCTGTGCTGTCTGAATATGGACACCTCAGTAAAAATCCTACCCTGAGCGGAGGCTGTGGTTAAAACTGCACCACTGAGGCCCTGGATAGTGTGGGAGGCAGACTAAGAGCAGTCAGTAACTGCTGGAGGGTTATCACTCCTCGACAGCCTGAAATAGCCGAGCGAGGCTCAGTCTTTCAGCCTACAAACCTGCGTATGTGATGATCAAATTCTGGGTTGCTATACCGGTAGAAATATTTTTCTCATGTGATCAGTCACACAAAGTCAAGATTATTCCCCTTAGGCACTCTCTGACATTCTGCATCCTAAGTTTGAGCCTCTGGATATGTATACTATGGGTATACATGAACATAAAGCCTGTGAAGAATAACATATGTATTAGCTATAATACAGTATGTGAGAAAATACCTGCAGATTTATATGCCTGTAATATACAAAATATGCACTGTAATGTGCACGTATAAATGAAGACCACAGTCTCTATCATGAGGTGTTTGCAGTCCTGAAAATGTCCCAAGAAACTGGCCAAAGATGAAGGAAAAGAAGTAAAGCAAAGTGATTAGCCTAGCAGCCACATGGCCTTTTTTTTTATATATATATATATTGTATACAAATTAAATTATGGCAAAATATATGTATGCAAACATATAGAGAAAATCAGATGCTCAAACATTGCCTTATGAAAATAGCTTTTCTTTCTGTCAGTATTCATTGTGGAACAAGCTTTACAAGAACACATCCCACTTTTCCCTGCAAGAGCTTCGCTCAAAACCAAGCACAGAGCAAGAGGAATATCCTAATATATACATATGCAGCATCCCTGCTCTCAGAAACCTTCAGAGTAAGTTGGCAAATGTCCTTTTAGACAGGGACATTGTATAGGTTGTAGATTTGCCTCTTCCGAGCATTCCTTAGAGAAAGGAGCAGAAATCTGTTTTCATTTCACACACATTTCGCATAGCCTAGAAGCACTCTTTTCCACATTCTCACTAGCTCAGGCTACATCACACAGTAATTATTTATGACAGACATTATGGAATGGGCTTTGCCTTGGAGAATTTAGTAACCATTCTCCCTCACTGTCCACACAACCACAGTTGAAATCCATGCTTGTTTCCACTGCCTTCTGCACGTAGTTAAGATTAATGCAGATAAACCTACTCATACTCAAACCTTTAATCGATATGGGTATGAAACTGTCATTGTCCAGGTGGACTTCTAGGGGTTACTCAGATTAAGGTCCTTGTGAAAGGGAAGGAGGTATGAAGGTGGCTGCAGTTCCCTGAAATTAGCTTCCTGGACCTCTAAGGTTCTCCCTATGTTCCAGTAGTTTGAAGTTTTGGGGGTTGGCTGAACAATCTTTCCACACTGAAAAGATGTAGGCTTTTACTTAGAAATCCTAACTCTTCTATGAAAAGTCATTTTGTGAATTCCTTTATCTACTTCTGCTATTCAGAAACTGCTTTTCAAAAATCCCTTCGGGGAGAAAAATCTCCACATAGCCTTCCACGTATCAAGAGTTAGATGTGCTAAAACGAGTTCAGTATTTTATTTTTGACTATAATTGGATGTTTTGGCAGAGACACACTATGGGACACATTTTAAGGTTTCTGAAGTTAAGTGAAAGGCTTTTACCAGTTTCAGTGGACTGTGAATCAAGCCCTACCTACACAAATACTCTAACATGGAGAATTAGAAAAACGTGCCAGGAACCTTTTGTACACCACAGCGGAGAGTCATGAATAGATCTAAAATGCTTTATTACACATAAATTATTGAGCGATGACACAGAGATAGAGGGTCTCAAATTAGTATGAACAGCATGGACATAATCCTGGTTACGCATAAGGGTGTGCTGGTTTAAAATAGGAAGCCTGTTTTGATTGTTTGCATGTTAGATGCAAACTTTGATTACCACAAAGGGAGCGGGCAGACTGAAAAGACGAGGCATTTTGTCCTGAAACACAACCCACTTAATTATTTTCCATTCTTCTCTCCGCGGTAGTTTGTTCCAGCATCGAAAAGGGCAGAGCTGTTGCTAGGTAATCTTCTTTACCCACTTGGCAGCTGAAGGTCCAGCCATGCAGAAAGGAGTTTTTATGTATCTAACTGCATCAAATTAAAATCCGAGCCATTGTTTAACCAACGTTTCCAGCACAACCCTGCTTCTAGTTGCAGGCCTCTTTTCAGCACAAGCTGCTCGGCTTTGCAGGCTGCAGGACAGCAGGGCTTGAGTAGCTGCAAGCCAGCCCCCAGCGCTTTGCTGAGCCCTGCTGTGAGCGCTGGGCTCACACACCCTTTCTGCTCCATGATTCCTCCCTTGTGCTGAGCAGCTGTCTGTGCTCACGCAGGGGAAAAAAAAAAAAAAAAAAAAAAGGGAAGCGATGCAGCTGAAAAGCTGCTGCAAGCAGGCTGCAGACAAGCCTCCCCCTCACTCCTTGCTGGGAGCAGCTGGGTCAAGTTCCTTGTGTCGTTTTCATTTTGTGGCTGGATAAACAGTGTGGGTAAATTCCCAGGAGAAAGCAGCAGACAGTCAGGAAGGAGTAGGCAGGGCTGGGGCAAGATGGGGACTGTTCAGGCTGCCTTACACATATCTGGTATTGCCACCAAATATCAGAACACGGTCGCAGTTTCTCTCAGTGAAGAACCTCTTCCTGATATCCAGCCTGAACCTCCCCTGTTTCAGCTTGACCCCATTCCCTCGGGTCCTATCACTGATCACTAAAGAGAAGAGATCGGCGCCTGCCCCTCCACTCCCCCTCGTGAGGAAGCTGTAGGCCGCCATGAGGTCTCCCCTCAGCCTCCTCTTTTCCAGGCTGAACAGGCCAAGGGACCTCAGCTGCTTCTTGTGGGTCTCCCCGTCTAGGCCCTTCACCCTCTTAGCAGCCCTATTAGCCCTATTTTATTAGATTTGTGAAAGGAATTTGATCGGAGAGTTTGGAAAAGCTCAAAGGCCATAGCCTAAAGAAACTCAGGACAGCTCTCAGATAACCATAGTCAGTAAACTATGGTTACATCCATTTTTCTTGATCTGGCTATGTGCTTTTGCATCTGTTACTGAAACTCAGTGTCACCATAAAAGGTTGTGTTGTTGGGTTTGTTTGTTTGTTCTATTTTCTATGGGTAACAAAACCACATGTACAACAATGTGGACTCGGCTACAAAGGACAGTTCAATTCCACTCATCTCTTTAGCATTAAATATTGTTTTCTTCGGTAGGAACCATGGCATACAAACACATTATAAATACACGTATATCCAGTTTTGATGGTGTTAATCACCTCAGAGATAGATTCATTTCTGATGCTGAGGGAGATAGCGGCTGCAGTGGGTACTCGCCAGCCCTGCAGGCCCACCCCAGCAGGTTGATGAAAAGAGGAAGGCAATCTCTAGCACCAGACTGACCTGCTTATCCTTTCTTCATACTTCTGGTGAATCAACCTGGAGCCATGCCTGCAGATCTCCCCGTGGGATCTCTGGTGTTTTTCAGCCCCAGGGGTATGCTGTTTCTGTACTAACCCACCAAAACGCTGCTCTCCTGCACTGAGAATTCAATTTCAAGGATCAGTGCCAAGTCCTGAATAGGTTATCTCAGCCTACTACCTCACTGGCTGTGCCAATGCTATGTATGCACAAAGTATATTTGCTGATCTACTTTGTTTGAGGTAGTTTAAAGCAGGAGTGCTACCTAGGGCTCAGCTGTGGCATTCCACATGAGAACTAATAAGAACTGAAAAGGGATCAGAAGGAAAAAACAACTAATAAATAAATAGGTGTAACAGAGAAACCTCTTGGTATGACTTACCCACGTTTGCATCAGCCAGATGCCTTTTTACAGGAGTAATACAGACTGATAAGGATACGCTATCTAGCAGGCAGCAGTGACAGATCACACCACTGAAAGTACATTGTGTAACAAAAAGTCCACTGCCTGCGTTCAACCCAGGAAACTTTTGTTCCCAAAGTATCATGCAAATCACTATCAGAAGGATATTTTTATCAAATTGTCCCACTTACACATTTGTAGGGAAACAAACACAGTTTTGTCCCAGAGTTTATTTTGTCTGTTAGCAAAACGTACTTCCAAGACAAAGCATTCATCCCTATCTCAAAATAAAGCTCATAAATAGTGAAGGACAGAGACTAAGTCCATTTGATTTCACAGCTGTAAATGACGATGAATGAACACTGCAATCCAAAGTTTGTACAGTGCTATGTAAATTCCAGAAGTCATCAACAAGTTACGCAATTTTCCTGGTTTATATTACCACATGCGGGAACTATGTTCCATGACTTCTATTTTACTCAACATCTACATCAGTCACCTCTCCTACTCAAAGTTCAGATAAAGTGTAAGAAACAGACCGTGGCGCTTGGTCAGATTGAAGTTTTCGTAATGGTTGATGATAGGTATATTTTTATAACAAGATAGTACATACTTACAAAGAACTGCCTAGTGGAACATTATTAAAAGTTGAATTTTAGCAACTGTTAAGATAGCTTTTTTACAGGTATTCAACTCAGTAGAGCTCAACATGAGTTTTTCTTTCAAAATGGGATTTTAACACTTATGTAGAATTAGTCCTTTGGTTATGACTTGTATGTGTCAGTTGACCACGGATCACTGACAGGAAGGTGCTGTCTTTGTTCTAAAGGAATTTATTTGCCTTCCTAAAGTATGTACGTGCCAGTCTTGGTGAACGGACAGCAGGATCTGATTTGGCATACCCTCTACTCCTAATATTCGAGGCCATCCTTTTCCACCACTACCCACTGGCAAGGTGTGCTGCAATTAAGAAATATAACACATCTTATTAAGTCTCACAGCTTCTGCATAAATACATACAGCTCTTATTAAAGCCAGTGAGAGCTCTGTGCGAGCGTACGTGCTTACGTGCCCAAAGGAAGGCGGGGAGGCCAGAAATCCATTTAATGGCAGCCTTACTCGAGTATTTACTTAATCTTTCTAGAAAAAACAACATCGCTTGCTTTGGGGACTTGCATGCATTTCATAAATCTTGCATCACCTCACTGTGTCACGTGGCGTTTGGAATGCTCTAACCCAGATCTCAAGAGCAAGCGTAAGCAGCAGCTGATTGATTTTCCTGTCTCTCAAGGGAGACAGCACAGCACACGCAGTTATAGTAGTGGCGTTTTGCAAGTAGTTCAGTGATGTTTGCATTTTTTTTTGGCATATTATTAAAATAGATCAGAGCCAAGTAGCGAGACCTGGCTCTCTTCTATTACAGATGTTTAATTTTCCTGTAGTTCCTTCGTCTTAGTATGATAGGTAGCAATCTCTATGTCGTTTCTGACTTGCCTGATCCTGGGGGTTGATTTAAAAACAAGACAACTGGTGGTGGATGTTTGAGGTACAAGGAGCACTGCAGAAAACAGCACCAAGAAAGTAATAACGAAAGAAAAGGATGAAGTGAGTTACCAACACACTGTAAAGAATAAAGGAACCCGTGACATCAAGACAGTACACCAGGTAGGCAGCAGATGCTAGCTCGTGCCAAGAAGCGCACGTGAGTATTTTGAACATAGGGCAGAATACGAACAAAAGACACCAAGGGTAGCTGAAAGAGGACATAAGCACAGAGTAAACACGAAGGTTTTAGCAAGACCGAAGTAGCCAGCCACACAAAGACAGAAGATACGTGGGATGAAATATTAATGCTGAGAACTGGTGAGGTCCAGAACAAGGTTTTGTCGGGGGAAACGAGGTACAAGGGGTAGCTCTGGAAAATGGTGAAGGGGAAAACTGTAGTAAATTTCAGATTGCTGTTGGCAGACAAAAGAAAGCTGATGACATTGAGCAGGAGAAATGAAAGGCTTTTGTAGTTGCATATTTCTTTCTCTACAGAGGGAAACAAAACCAAACGAGATCGGTATCATCAACTATAAATTGCATGGGGGAAGAGTTTGGGAAAATGGAAAACCCCGAAGTTGCTTAGTAGTGAAAAACTCCACTCTCCTTCCAGCTGAGGAAACGTCACTGGAAAGTCCCAGCCTGAAAAAAAATCCAGCAAGTAAACAAATTGCCTAGGCAGTGAAAACAGAAAGAGGAACAAAGTCAAATGATACTTTGACTTTAAAGGAGTTTATTTTCACTTTAGCATTTCCTTGAATGGCAACAGTTCAAGTTCAGACAAGAAAAGTCTCCTTCCAGTGAATCTGGCTGGAAGGTTCACTGCTGGTATGAGGTTGCAGAAAGAAAGCTCATTTATTAACAAGATAAGACTTTAACTCAGGATTTTATTTTTTATTTTCTGCTACTGAGTGCATTCAAACAATCCCAGTCACAAAGCAGACGCCCACGACTATTAGATTGCTGTAAAATTAGAAATCATCGTCTGGCAAGTTCGTGGATTTTTCTCCCCCCCAGATTTACATGTATTTCCAGACAAGGAAGCTTTTCTTAACAATGTGCTTCCTCACAACTCACTGGGCACGGCTCTTTGCTTTACAAGAAAGTTCAATGCTGGGAATTTTTCCAGCATTGTACAACAAGAAAATAAGGAAAAACCAAGGCTGGTGACACTGAGACACGAAATACACTGTTGGACAAAATTCAAGGTTTCTTATCTCTCTAAACGGCGTTTGTGAAAATAAAAATACTGAAATAAATGTGTACCCTCTTCTGAATTAAATCAACTTTCAGCAAAGATACTTTACAGTAACACAAGCAACATGAACGCAAATTCTGTAACTGATTACAGCGACAGCACTCTCTAGCAGTTATCTGTCTAAATAATCAAGACAGTTTTAACACAGCTTTCCCAGCTAATTAACGTTGAGGCGTTCTGACCAATGTGCACAGCCCTACTAACAAAAAGCAGCTGGCAGTTTGGGAAGTGTTTGGGAAATAGCACTGACTGTCCTGCCTCCAACCCTTACCAATATTAAAATGTAGGATTTTATTTTCTTTACACTTTTCTCTTAATTCTCATCAGGATTTGTTTTAACACTGCTGCAGAGAGCCAGTTCAAGCGTGTTATCCTGGTAGCCAAAATTATTGTTATTGCTGAAACTGCCGGCCTGGCAGATTTGGGAAGAGGACCAGTTAGCAGTCTTTGGGTTAGGAGGTTATGCTTGTTTTTTTTTTTTTTTTTTTTTTTTGCCAGTGGTTTTTGGTTTTGCATTGCTTCTAGTGTGTGTAAACAGGAGGAAAGAAACAAAACTGCATGAGTTTGACATTTTGATTCTTTACCATTCTTCCTGTTACGAGGTAAGGGCGTGTGTAACTCTGCCATTATCTAATCAGGGGGCAGGATGATCTTAACTTCCCAGGTGGAAGCCCAGGGCCCAAGTCCACGGATCACACCTCCTTGAGCTCTGAATAGCGGAGAACAATGATCTCAACAGCTTTCCCCAGTGACCAAGCTGGAGCAGCAGACGTGAAACCCAGCGAGTTTCAGTTCCTGCCTCTGATGCAATAGTTGCGTTAGCTCACTACGGGAGAAATGTCCTGAATCTCGCCCTCGTGTGTGCTCTTACATACGTGGCAGGAAGGACGATCCAAGATACGCTTCCTGCGAGAGGCCAGGGTGGGGTGAGAAGCGGGGACAATATTCACAAAAATCACACTATTTGGATTCTTTATGATTTTTATAGGAACGGCCTGTTCTCCGAGCAATTTCCAAGCACTAAACGTAAGCTGCGACAGAAACAGAAACACTACCTGCTGATCTTTTAAGGGCTTTCCTTCAGGTGCACAGGCCAGTGCTGATCAGGGTGAGATAGTCTGGAATCTGACAGGGAGAGCTGGAAATTCCACCCAAAAGACATATATTTTGGTATCTGGTCAGCAGAAAGAGGCACCAAATGTTGATATATTTACTTACTGAATTCCTGGCACAGTTGAGCAACATTGGCAAAAAGCCTTAAAGGTGAAACACCAGCAATCGCTCCTGCTCCAGGACGTGGCATGGTTTTATGTGGTAAAGCTCCTTTGAATAGCATGGATATGGAATCAGGGATCAGTCAACAGCCAGGGGATGTAAATACGAAGAATATGAAGCAGGACCAAACATACTTTAATGAATATTAAAAAAAAAAAGGATTTCCTTAGTCAAATCTGACAGTTGTCCTGGATGAGAAGAAATTAAGTTTACCTAATTCCTAGGGGACTCGGTGGCAGTTACCAGAACAGGGGGGTGATTTCTAAACAGCTAATTCTGCTCCTGGCTTTGCGCGGTGTTTGGCACGTCGTTTTGGTGTTTTTCTTCTTTGACCTTGTCTGTCTGGTCTCAACAAAAGTTCATTTGGCAGCCGATAAGGAAAGGAAAACAAGATCAATTGTAAAACTGAGTGGATTGTGCAATAAAAGTATGTGAATGCACGGGAGGTTCTTGGAAAATCCAAACATAGCTTTGCTCTGCTCCGTGACAGGTTAAGCAACAAAGGCTAGACGAACCTGAAAGCTAAGCTCAACAGTCCCAAAGCTGGGAAGTGCCAGGATTAACACAGAACATGCACATGAAAGCTTGGACGGGGATCAAAAAGGCAGCGCAGCCATCTCTGGCTGCGGCGGCAGCAGGCTCACCGGCGGGCACGGAGCTGCACGGAGCTCACAAGCTGTCCAAACACAACTTCAAAGGCAGGGCTGGCAGCAGGGCCTGCGCTGATACGGGCCCTGCCAGGCAGCACCACTCCTGCAATGAAGGAAGGGGTAGGAAGGAGGAGGCTGTAAAGCACAGCACGCACACAGCCACACCTGCCACGGGGACAGAGACCACGGGGCACGCGTACCAGGTGGGAACAAAAACCACTTTGCCCAGCTCAGCTGGGTCTGCCCTTCGTGCCAGCCGTGCTGACATGAAAAAACCCTCTGTAATTACCGCTTCCTTCATGCCTGGAACTCGCCAGTCATCGCTTTTTCGTCCCCTGCATGACATCACTCTCAGAAATTATTGCCCGAGGGCCCAGACTGAAACTGGCTCTGCAATCACACTAATGGCTCCCAGCGCAGAGCCATACAGGAGCAGAGTTTAAATTAGCTTTCAAACTATTTTACCAAGCAGGAAAGGCAATAATTAAGAAGTGAAACACTTCCACAACAGCTAATCGCTAACAATTTACAACACAAAAGTAATGATTTTATTCTACGGGCTCGACAGTTTTAGCAGGGAATTAGCATCGAACGTAGGTGACTGGAAATGAAAAGCTATCGGAAGCTGATCGTGTACTAAAACGTGTCAGCTTTAAAGGCTTAACCTTAGACTGGATGAATAAAGGGGAGCTGTATGTACGTGGCTATACCAATATGTCCAGGGGTCTTTCATGTGCAGTTCAACAATAAGAACAGGAGCAAACTCTGGTTTTAAGTCCTGACATAAAAAATAAAATAAAAAAATATGTATAAAAAAAAACCACACACTTAGCAAAACCATTACATCTCCAGGATAGACAATTTCAAGCTTTCCCAAGAATAATACCCCAAAACTAAATGATGACAGCTGTTCCTGGGGTGTTATGAAACCTCTCACGTTTTCTAGGCCCTGCATTCTCCTTTTTCTCTCCACTAGCCTCTATTCTTTAATTGATCTCTCTTCCCAGAGCCACAGCTTCTCCCTAGCAGACACCACCGTGCGAGCTGCCGACCACAAAGGCAGCACAGCCCATTCCCAGCCTGCTGGGGCTGGAAGCCGGATGCGAAACCTCCCCTGTGCCAAGGGAAAAGGTGGAGGCTCAGCCATGCAGAGAGGCCCTGGATCGACCAGGGACTGCAAACAAGGGTAATTAAAAAAAATTAAAAAATTAAAAAAATTAAAAGCTAATCATTTTGTAAAGATTTTGTATTGTGCACATTTAGAAGTTCAGTGTATCATAGTGTCTGTCTCTCACTCATCAGTGGGTCTGATGAGGCTATGGGGGTGCTGGCTGTGCCCAATATAAACCTATTTACTCCTCAACCAAAAGTTACGGGACTTGTGCATTATTTCTAGATACCTTTTCTCCAATGTTTTGGGAGCCACTTGTCACCTAAAGCACCACTGTGCATATTCAGGGTCACAGTGATTATTTTTCTGTCAAAATCCAGTTGCAAAGACATTTGTAATATAAACAGCTTACTAAGAAGCACTGCCTAAAAGCCCAGTTGCATAGGAACCACAGCTAGTGGAGAATCTCTCTCAAGCCTCAGTGGAAATACTGATACAGCAAAATGACTTCGGCATACAGTGATGTGTATACAAAAGCTTCAAGCTAAGTAAATTCTTCCAAAGTATTTACTTTATGCCAGTCATACACCCGTGTAATGCCATAATGTACACATATTCCTCATCAAACTAAATGTTTCATATTGGACAGAAATCACAGCATCATTTCACAGTGACATCACTCAAAATTTCTACGAAAACTGTAGAAACTGAGAGAGGCAGAACGTATTTTATCTGAAGGCTTTTATTTAGTAGTTTGTACCTCAGATAGCTCTTATCCAGATCTCAATTCTATCCCGTGGATTTTATATTATTCTCAGAAAGTGTTTTGGTGAATCGAATTGTCTTATCTGCCCTTACAACTGCGTCCTGTAAGAGACAGCAGCATTCTCCCCGTTTGTTAACTGTAACAGCATGAGAATTGTTTCAGTCAGGCACTAAGTGTCAACTACAAAGACCCACGTACGCCCGTAAACATCAAGAAAGCGTTCACAACTTCAGGTTCGATCAGAAATAAATACTGACAGCTGCTTCGGATTCAGGTTGCTTAGTTTTCCCTAGCCCTCAACAAACAGCAAGCGTAAGGCATGTGGAGTCCAAATTCTTTAATGGAGCTTAAGCTACGGAGCGCTGCGGGCGGTTCGCCAGGCCGTTTACACCGAGACCCTTTCCCTCCACCAGCTGCCAAGCTTCCTCCAGCCCCAGGCTGTGGCAGGCCGTGAGGACAGGGGGCCCAAAGCCACCGTGTGCGAGGCCGGGGGGCTGAGACCGGCTCCTGGGTGGCTTCGAGGGGCCGCGGGCAGGTGGCCCACCCCGCTCGGTCGCACCCCCGGTGCAGCAGCGGGTGCGGCGCTACTTGCAGAGCCCCTCGAGGCGCTCCAGGGTGCCCTTCATGTCTCGGATGCGCTTGGCCAGGGCGGGCACGGGCTGCATGGCGCGGTCCAGCTCCTCGCAGCGGGCCACCAGCGCGTACATGGCGCGGATGCTGAGGTCGGCCGCCTCGCCCAGGCTCTCCACGCCGTCGCGGTAGGTCTGGATGCAGCCGACGCTGAGCGCCGTCAGGGCCTGCAGCCCGCAGTGCACGCCCCGCAGCAGCTCGTCCACCTGCGCCGCCACCTGCCCGGCCAGGGCCACCACGTCCTGCAGCGCCCCGGGGTCGATGGCGGGGATGGAGCTGGCCCCGGCTGCGGCTCCGGGCCCAGCCCCCGGTGCGGGGCCCGGTGCCGGCTGCTCGCCCCGCGGGGCGCCGCTGAGGCGGATGCGGCGCTCCAGGTTGTTGGCCACGAACTGCGTGAGCCGCCCCTCGCGCAGCACCGTCCCCTCCAGCTCCAGGGCGCTCGCCAGCGTGGCCCGCCGGCCCTCCGAGGGGGGCTGCGGCCTCCCCGCCGCCACCCCTGCTGCTGCTGCGGCCGCCGCTCCGGTGCTGCCGGCGGCCAGGCTCAGCGCCTCCAGGCTCCGCCCGTCCCGCTCCGCTCCCTCCCGGGCCGGGGCCGGGGCCGGGGCCCCCGGAGCCCCCTCAGAGCCCGGTGCCGGCGGCTCCATGGCGAGCACCGCGTGCCCCGCCGGGAGCGCGCCACCCCCCCCAGGGCGCGCCCCCGCCGCCTGTTTACGTCGCCTCCGATTGGCTCCGAGGCCTTCGGGGGCGTGGCCTCCGGGCGGTGGGGCGCCGCGCGATTGGCCGGCGGTGCTGGCGAGGGGAGCGGCTGGCCCCGCCCCCCCGCCCCGCTCCTCGGGTCCGTGCCTCGGAGACTGGGGAGTGCCCCTTGTTTGTGTGCGCGCCGATTGGGCGGCCTGCGGAAGCGGGCGGGGCCCCAACTGTTTGTGTCGCTGCCGATTGGCCGAGGCGGGGCCAGCGCGGCGGCCGGCCGGCGTGGATTGGCCGAGCCCTGCGGGGAGGCGTGGCGCTCGACGGCTTCCCGGCGCGCCGATTGGCTGGAGGGCGGAAGGGGGCGGGGCCGTGCCGTGTAACAACACAGGGGCACTGCTGGCCTGCTCGCTCACTCCCCGCCATGTTCTCCTAGCAGCAGCCCCGACCGCGCCACCCTCCCGCCCGCACCGCCCGGCAGCCGCTCCCCGGCCCCTCTCCCGTCCGCAGCTCCGGGCCCCCGCCTCCCTCCCACCATGGTCACCACCACGGCGCCGCCGCCCTTCCTGGCTCGCATCTCGTCGGGCGCCGACGACCCCCGGCGGCTGCCCTCCGGCCTCCTGCAGCGCCTGCGGCGGGGGGACAGCAACTGCGAGAACCAGCCCGGCTGCTGCCTGGCCGCCGCTGCCGCCGCCGCCGCGGGGGGGAGCGGATCGCGGCCGGCGCTCAAGAGGGTGAGGCGGAGGAAGGGCAAGCTCCGGCCGGGCCCCGCGGGGCTGCTGCCCAGCCGCTACCAGCAGTACCAGCAGCACCGCGCCGGCCTGGGCAGGAGGACGCCGCTAGCCGCCTACGGCCCGGGGGAGCTGCGCGCTCCCCCAGCTCCCGGCGTGGCTGCCACCCCTCCGGAGGAACCCCCCGCGGCCGCCCCTTCGAGAGCCGCGCCCGGCAGAGCGCTGAGGAAGGAGGTAGGGGAGGCGCTCGGGCACTTCTCGCTACTTTTATCCCCGTTTTTTACATTGTGAGGGGGGGGGCCGCTTGTTGGCAGCCGGAGCGCGGGGGGGGAGCTCCTCGCCCCCCTCCCTCCGCCCTGCGTGTGAGGGGCGGCGGCGGCGGAGTTTCCGTTACGTCCGTTGAGGTGGGGGGGGAGCGAAACGGCCGCCGCTGATTGGTCGGCGCCGTCCAATGGGCGGCCGCCGCTGCGCCCAGCAACAGCCGGATTTAGCCTGCTGGCCGCGCGCCAACCGCCCCTGCGCGCGCAGGGCGGGGACGTGCGTGGGGCGCAGCGCCCCATGGCGGCCGGGGGGGGCTCTGAGGGGATAAGGGGGGGGGGGGGCTGTGATGGCGGCCGGGTCTGGCCCTAGAGGCCGGCAGGGGGCTGGAGGAGCCCTTAGGGAGGCTGCCCTCGAGGAGAGAGGGTTTGGCCGCTGATGCGAAGTCTTTGTCTGCGCAGGTCTTGAAGAATAAGATGGGAAAGTCTGAGAAGGCGGCGGCCCCCCACAGCCCGCCCGTTCACGGTTTCCACCTGTGTGAGCAACCGAAGATCAACAGGCAGAAGGGCAAGTGCGGCGTGCCGCTGGCCAAGATCGCCTCCGCCAAAAAGATGGAGAGCTTCTGGCAAGACTCGGTGTCAGCAGAAATAATCCCCAAGCCGGAGAAGAAGCCGCTGAAAAACACAGAGAACTTCAGAAACGCCAAGTCCAAGAAACCCGTCACCCTCACGGAAGCGAACCAAAAAGAGAATTACGCTGGGGCAAAATTCAGCGACCCGCCATCACCTAGTGTCCTTCCAAAGCCTCCCAGCCACTGGGTGGGTGGCACAGCTGAACTTTCCGACCAAAACAGGGAGTTGATGGCAGTCCATTTGAAAACTCTCCTAAAAGTTCAAGCGTAGTTTCCAAGATCTCTGAAGAGCTGCAAAAAAAAAAAAAAAGTCCATCCAGGAAACTTACACATGCCTTGTTGCAAAGAAAAAAAAAAAATTACAAAAAAAAAAAATTGCAAAAGACTGTCAAGTCTTGTAACCACATACAAAAATCCTTGTATTATATTTTTTATGGTTGTGTAAATAGTGTACATCATGTATTATGTGTATATTCTTGTTCATACTTTGAGAGGTACATTTTAGTTTTGTTATGAAAGGATGTATTTTGCACTGCCTGAATGGTAGATGTCTTGTATATAAAACATGGACAATTTTAAGTGTGTGCTTGACACATGAAGACTTGACTTGATTTGCACAAGGTAATGGAAGATCTGAAAGGAGAGTACAGCTTTCTGATGTCAAGGTTCCAGATCAAATGTGAATGGTTTACTCATGCACTACTGACAATAGTTTTACATTCTGTGTCCCAGTTCAAGTACAAACATGGAATTTTCATACAAATGTGAATTTTTGCTCTGGAAACAATATCTGGAATTCCTGTTCATGTGTTTGTTACAAAATCAACTGGAATTTGCCTAGAATTCCAACCCACCAAATTGAGCACTGCTAACTTCTTTAAAAAGAAAAAAAAAAGCAGAGCTTTCTGCCATAATTTTAATTGGTCACTAACAAATTAAATAAAACAATTTGGCCTCCCCTTAATCATGTCTCTGTTTTCCTTGTGTGTGTGTGTACAAGTGTTAGAGCTTAAATTACCTGATTGCCTTCTTTTAGTGAATAATTAAGGTATTTGATAGCTCCTGTAATGTTAGCCTTTGTGACATGTCTTTTGAGAGTCCTTATTCTTTGGTTTCTTTAAAACTTAGATTTCAAGAAAGTCAGGGATTTAAACATCAAAATTCCTGCTGCTTTCATAGTAAATGATCATTAAATGAATTGATACTGAAAAGTAACAGTAACTGAAAGTTAGGGTGCAAGTTAAGACTGATGTTTTACACCCATTTTGTCTCCTGCTGGTGGTTGTGCTGGAAACTGTGTTCCTCTGATCTAAAATTCTTAAGGAACTGAGCTATAGATAAATTTGACAGGCTTGGTGAGATAGCAAAGATTTGTGATTAACAGATATTTTAAAAGTATAAAGGAAAACTACATGTGATTAAATACTCCTCAGAATTTTCAGATCCACTGGGGAAAAAAATGTGACCTCTGGGCATTAGTTTACTGGGTAGGATACGTATGAAGAAAACAGCTGGCAAGGTCCTAGGAGGAATGTTTCCTTGGCATGGATCGTCTTCTCTGAGCATGTTCAAGGGAGATTCAGTGGGCAGCGTTACCTGCATTTGTGATACGCTGCTAGTTCTGGTCTGTGCGGTCGCCTTGTTGGGTTAGGGTGAATTGGTGGTGTTAGTTAGCCACCAATTATGAAATGAGATCGGTCAAAAAGTAGAGGAGAGTGTCTTTGTTATTATATAGACATTAATTATGTAGTTGCAAAAATGTTCATTGTAGTGCTATTAGGCTATTTAATTACATCATAGGCTCTAAACCAAGATTTCATACAAAATTTTAGGACTGGCCCAAATACTTTTGTTTACTAACTTGCAAAATACATCTGTGTTAGTTGTTCAATAATGGTACATGCTTGAGGAAAATCTATGGCTTCCTTAGCCCAGTTTGCTTCCCAATCTAAAACCTCTATAATTTAGCAAGTCTTCTAAAAACAATTTATATATTTTATCATTAACATACGTTTTTATCCTTTATATCTGTATTTATCAGTACTAAGGCAAAGAGGAATGCCGGTAGAATCTCACTGAAGATGGCTCTAGTAGATTGTAAGTCCTGGTTTTACTACATTTGGGACGTGCTGTTTTGATCTGCGTTTGTGCTGCTGTCTTTTCCTTTTGTCTGAGTGCCAACAAGCACAAAGGAAAACGCCTTTTAAGAATTCCCCATAGCGTAATTTTTAACTAGTGCCTACTTCTGTCAGCTGAACTTGTGATCTTCTTGAATCTTGGTAACTGGCTTGTCAACAACGTAGTTTCCATAAGCCCTGTAGGTTGGCATTAATTAAAAGACGGCAAGTTTTTTTTTTTTCTTTTTTCCTCCCCCGCCTATTACCTCTGTTTGTATCAGCCTCTTTTCCTCCCTGCCCTTTGGAGCTGACCTCAGGTCATGTAGTCTGAAAGGCAGCTCTGATCCTGCGTAAAACTTGCCAACATAACGCACTCCTCTTTGTTGCTGCCTTGCTTTGCTGACATCCCCTGGGGATTACAGATTTGGTTGCACAACTGTCAGCAGTTCTCAGCTCCTCGGCCACTTCTTCAAAGCTGTTGGATGAGACGTCTGAAGTCTTGAAAACTTAAACTTTTCATAATTCGGTGCATCATAAAGATTATCAGGGTAGGATAACAACAGATCTTTTACTCTGTTTCTTACTCAGCATGCAGTTAAGCACATTCATTTTCTTCCACCTCATTTCCTTATTGTCCTCTAAAAGGCTTGTACTCTTAGAATCTTGATTACACAAGGCTTTTTTTTTTTTCCCCCCACAATAATATATGCCTGACTAACAACTATTTACGAGGAACTCTTGTGATCTTTTAGAGGTTTTAATGTTACAAATAGCCTGATCCTTATCCTAAAGGGTCTAGGAGGTAAGCAAGTAAGAGAGAAACATAGTAAAATGTTAACATTTCTTGTGAAAAATCAATGCTGCCTTGCTGGATGGGAACCAATGTCAAATAGTTTTGGCAAGCAGAAATATTGTAGTTGCTGATTCAGTAGAAATATAATATAAAGGGAACATCTATCAATTAAGGAGAAATATGTTGCCTAATAAAAGGAGTTTTCTGTTCTGAGGTTGAGCAACAGCAACGCAGATGCTGAACTTTTTGTTCCGCATTTAGGGTGTAGAAGAATGTTATCAGAGCTAGGACAGGAAGGTCAAGAATTCAGCTGCATTTGGAAAAAAAATAAGAAAAAGACACCACCTCGGGAATTAATGTGCACAATGCACACATCCCAGCAGAGGTGCTGCTTTCTGAAATCAGCACTCTTCTCTCTCTATTGTTCCCCTGGGCTGATAAAACCTCGCTTATTCAACTCCCAGAACAGAGGCCTTCAGCCTTGGCTGAGCCCACCTGGGCTGGAAGAGCTGTGCGGGTGCTTTTGTTTGAAGTTCACCCAGTGACACTCCCACAACCTACCCATCCTCAGGCTCGTGCGCAGCAGATGCAGTCGTTTTTGTAGAGTGGTTCACAAATGTTTGACTTCAGCTTGAGAATTACATTGTTTATATATGCACACAGGTCACCCAATGGTGAGTGAATTGCTGCAACATCTGCAGTTCATTACCAGAAAGACTATTTTGGGGTCAAGGGCTTTTCTTGTATTTATAGGACTTGCCTGCGTATTTATACAGTTGTAGTTCAGTGTATGTATATACACTGCGTGTGTATTTCAAGTAGTAGCAAGCAGATCGCTGCCATTTTGTCATTCTTAAGATCATGAAACGTAAAGTTTTGAGATGCCCTTTTTATGAAAGGTGTTCACTTCTTTAAAAAGTGCTGCGCTTTCATCAGGTGGGTCTGTGAACCTCAATTTACACATCAAAATATAATTTCTTTCTTTTTTTTTTTTATTGCCTGAAAGAAGACCTAGAGCTATATTCAATAAAGGACATCCAGGATATAGGATATATACTATATGTATTATAGTATATATAGTGTTATATAGTATTAGAGTATATATATAGCGTATATAGAATATTGTATATAGAATCAGGCCTTTCTCTTCCTTCAAGAACACTTGAAACTTGTGTTCTTTATTGCTTCATCAGAAAGAAAAAGATGTGCCCTTACCTAAAATAGCAGATAGCTCTATATACATAGTTTACATATTAAATCTTCACTATAAATATATATATATAAGTTGCATTCCTTCCATCAGGTTATTCAGAAATTGCATGTTGTCATATTTAGAATATTGATTGATTGTTTTAGGAATTAATGGTGTAGTAAATTGACAGACCTTGTTCAAACTTTAGAGATTCTTGGTATGTAAGCAATAAAGAAAGTGCTGATACATTTTTTGCCCTGTACTTGAAGTGATAAGGAGAAAAAAAAAAAAGTAGAAAAACTGAAAAACAGGGTCATCTGAGAGATATGAAGAAGCTGCATAGATGTTGCCATTGAATTTTGTGGTTAGGAAAGGTACTGGGAAGCTGCATAGATGTTGCCATTGAATTTTGTGGTTAAGAAAGGTACTGGAAGAGAAAATTATTTCCAAAGTACCTGATGTTACTGCAGACGTAGGGCTGTGTATGGTATGTTAAAATGCATTGAATGTAATGTTCTGCTTTGAAATGTTTGGCATGTGTTGTCACTGGTAGGGCTGGTGAGATAAACTGGACTGTGTTTAGGCTTTGTGTTGTGGGGAGTTATATTGCATGATGGTTTTAGTAATTTGCACATGAAAGATGACTGCTTGTTTTGTCTCCACCCCTAATTTTAACCCGTTGATACAGCACATAATCTATACACACCACTGTCATTTCCAGCTCATTCTCTCTGTTCTTTCCCCGCAGCCAGCAGTGGGAAGACCGATGCCAAGTCTGAGGTTTCTGCTTCTGGCTGCTGCTCTCCACTGCTGCCTACTCGTGCTGCAGACCACAGCTGCCTTTGGTTGGTACCTGTGCCCTGAGCCCGGTTGTGTTCCCCTCTGCCCACTTTCCCTCACTTTGCCACAGCTTTTCACACATGTAATTTATTTTGCCTGAAAAAATCCATCTGAGAGCACGCCACGTTTACCTGCTGTGTTCAGGTTACATTTCATCTAAGGAAGAATACATTTTTTTCTTAAAGGAAAATCAGATTTTTACCAAATGCAGCAATCCTCCTGAGATATCTCCAGTCAATGATCAATGTGGTATGACTTGACCAGGCAAGCATGTAGCACAGTCTCAGTAACATAACCTGCCCCACCTGATATCCTGGAGGGCTAGAAACAACTCTGGTGAGCTGGTCCATGCAGATACCATGGAATTCATCTGCCAAACGTAACTAAAAAAGCCAAAACCACACACACACACACCACACAAAACCACAGATTTTAAGGATTGTTTCCCCAGAGATCAGGAAGTCCAAGATGCCTGGCCTGGCCTGACCTGGCTCGTAAGCCACTGGGCGGACATTTCAGGAAGATAAATGCAGCCTGCAGCTCTGAGATGCATGAACTGAGGCATTTTATCTATTTTTTTCAGGCCAGGTCTGCTGTTTGAGAGCCTGCCACAAGCGCAGCCTGTATCCAAAATCCTTCTTCTCAGCCTCCCACGTGTAGGATGGTGTCTTTCTATGTGTTCAGTGTTAGTTCTGTGGTTGGCTCTGTGTTTCTGACCTGTTCGTGTCTTAGGTGATAAGAGGTAAGAGTTTACACCCCTCCTTTACAGGGTCTTGTGGTTTGTATTTCCTTTTTAACTCGTGGCAGGGTACCAGGCTAGTTTTACACTTGCAAGCCCTACTTTGCCCCATGCACTATGGTGCCTTCCCAAAGCACCAAGTCATGTGTTTTATGAAAAAAAAAAAAATGGAAAAGAAGTATTATAAAGTATTATACAGGCCACATATGCACAATACCTTTCACTGTCTTCAGCATCTACAAATCCCAAAGCCCGAGGTGTCAGTTCACACCTGCAGGGTGAT